ATTTAGGTCAGGTGGCCAGGTCATGATGTGACACTATGACTCTCCTTTGTGGGTAGCTTGGCATATCCAAAGCTTTGACTGGTACTGTATGTCTAACAGGAACGTTACCTCAACTCCAGGACTGGGGATTTGAATCCTGCTTCCACTGCGTGTGCTGTGTTTGTTCCCCTGTGTTGTACAGTTTCCTCCAGTAGTCCAAAGACATGCAGTGTGGCCTACAGGACACTATAAGTTACCCATAGTGTTTGTGCTCCAACTTTGTGTCCTTTTCTCCCTGGGAAAGGCTACAGGTTCCCCTTCAATTCTGTAGTTGAAATGCGGATGTATTTATACATGATTAAAGAGATCAGTATTTCCTCATGGTGAACATCAACTTTTTTTCTATTTTCTACAGAAAAACCTCCCGCAACTCCAGCTCCTGGTGACGGAAAATGTCGTCCCGAGTGGTGGCCCTACGGCCGCTATTGTTACTTTGTTTACAATGGAAAGCAGGGCTTTTCTTGGCCTGAGTCACGGCACTATTGTCAGCTAGCAAAGGCAGAGCTGACGTCCTTGCATAGTAGGGCAGAGGTAGAGTTCCTGAGGAACATCAACTACACCAAGTACCATAATATTTGGATTGGACTGACAAGAGACAAATCTTGTACGTTCAGATATTTTTATTTGGTTACTGCTTCTTTACCAGGTGTAAAAGATTCTGTTCTATCATTTGTGCTGCTACTAAGAGTGTGTTACCAACATGATTGTCAGAATTGTCAACTATGAGGTGATTTATAGGAGGGTTTGGTCTGTGGCTTTGAAGTCAAAAATGTCAATGTGGATTTATTTTTAGTTGGCTGGGCTTGGACAGACCGCTCATCTGTGGGGTTCCTGAACTGGGCACCAGGAGAGCCTAATCTAGCCTTCCATCCTGGTGATGTGGGAACTGAAGATTGTGTGGAGATGTATCCTGATGGGAAATGGAATGACAACAACTGCCTGCAGAAGAGAGGATTTGCCTGTCGTCACCACCAGTGTAAGGACCTGGACATATTTTTTTTTAACTGTACTGATGCTGACTAAAATGTAAAAATGCAAATGGATAAATTGATGTATATTTTGATATTTTAAAACATAAGGCCAATTCCAGTTTTCAAAAGCCTGAGTGCGTACTAGTTTTATTCTGAAGTCACAATGGCTAATGAAAATGAAATGTAGACTGCAGGACATTTCACATCTGCTGCATAGAAAATTAGTCCCCCCCCCCCCCAGTATAAAGTATTAGATAAGAATTACTTTAGCCCACCTGCAAATTAACCAGGGTGATGTGCATTAGCCTGCTGGAAAAATGGCAAGTGAATTGTCATCTGGATTTTAACTTTCACTTCCAGCTTTTGTAAAATGAGTTTCTAAGCATTATGTATATAAGCAACAGTACCAGGTATTCTGTGTATAATTGTATATTATTTCTTCTTAGACTATACAACAGATGACAATGGAATAGTTATTCCTACAGCCTCTTCAGGATCAGGCAAGTTAATCTCTGTACTACATTACACGTTACAATTATATCATGCACTATGGTTATGCATAATAAAATTTTGTATATCTATCATTATCCCACCCAATCACCCAGATGGAGCCATTGCAGGAGCCGTCATTGGTGCCCTGATTTTGATCGGCTTGATTTTTGGAATCATATACTATGTTTTTTATGTGCGAGGTGTTAAACTGAGTGTTCCAAGTTTTCCAACCATTTCAAGAAATACTGATGCGGTAGGTAGCATTCAGAACACAGCATACTTTAAATATACATTTTACTACTTGAAATAATATTTAACCTTTTGCTTTTTCTGTCTAAATTTGCAGGTCAATTTTTCCAACCCTAATTTTGGAGGGACTTCCGAATCATGAGAGCAGCTGATATTTTCTGTACATTTAATGTTCCTGCCAAGATGTCGGTTTCTACCATATAAATTTGGAAATGTGATTTCCTTAGTTAATGGTAAATATAGTTGCATGTAAAAAAAGATCCCCTAATCAATGCAACATTTCAAGAATGTTTTCATACATTTTTCTCAGTTTTATCTACAGCAAAAGTACATGTAACATTAAATTGGTTCATTGTAATGGAAAAACCATTAAAGATTTTCCATCTTGTAGACTTGACACCTTCTTTGACAGATTTATGAAGAAGTGTCCTCAAGCATATGTCAATTATCCAACATGGTGATTATATTAAACTATGTACTGCAAATATGTTTTGACAATGATACACAATTTTAAATTCAAAATACAAAAAGTCATTTTACAAATTAAAATAGCTTCACAGGGTGGCATCAGTCCCCTTAATTTTATTGCTCCTTTGAGTATATTACATGGCAAATTATCAGTCACCAATTTTCACCCACAGTCATTTGTGGAGGAGTGTGACCGAGCTTAAAAAGAAATCTCAATGTCAGCCAGTCTTTCTTTATAAATTCTTATACAATCCAGTTGAAACTATTTACATGTTCACAAAGTTCAGAAAACTACAATTCTGCACAACTAAACAGAGGACTACATGTTTTCAAAATATCTAAAAGGAATTTGCATAGAAGAAGGAATATGAAAAACAGCATTTTAAAGATCACATTTTATATAGTAAGTTATCCTCCTCAAAAACCCTGAAACAGCACGTAACAGAGTACAAAAAATATTTTAATACAAATACAGAATACTACCAAGTACCAAACAGGGTACATCTGTAGCCGTTTACTTCACTTGCCGAGTTGCCATTCTGCATACAGCTAATGAAGCAGGGGAATACTCTGCCTTGTCATTCTACAAGTTCAGAATAAAAAAAATAGTAAATCTGAAAGAAGTCAATAAAACTGACCAACCAGCATGCCACAGTACCACTGTCCTCCTCCATACTACATACCAAAGTTATGCAGTAAAAGTACAGATATCCAGAATCTGTGCATCACTGCAGCTAAGTAACAATGTATTTTCTTGAGAAGATAATTTTCAGTAAGCCATTAAGGGCTTAATATTTCTTAAAAAAACACAACTGATCAGATACAATTAAAATTAAATACATTTTAAAAAGGACTATAAGACAGCCTTCGTTAAATAATATGTTGCAGGAACAAGAGAAATAATCATACTTGCTGCAGCTGGATCCACTGTACAAGTTTCTTTGAAATATTAATGCTATCTTAAACATAGTATTGAAACTAACTGAAATAACATGGGCACTTTCTATACAAATGATACTAGGAGAATAAAACCGCTGCAAATTGCATAAGAATTCCAGCAATGAATGCTTTATAATAGTAAAGTCATGTCACTTGACGGTACGTAAACACGAATTGGTAACAAACCTGTTAATGTGCAGCAAACGGTCAGAATTTTGGACCCTTGAAATCATCTTAACTGCTTGACAAACAATTCAACAAAAAATAAAATGCAGATGCACCACATATCAAAGCGAGTGTGTGCAAATAGGCACAACTGTGAAAGAGGAATGGCACTCGAAAGCAAAGTGGTCAGTTATGCCCAACACAATTAACCAGCATGATTTAACTATCAACACCTCTGAAGTCTCACAATTAAGAGAGCTACACAGCACAGCACAGCAAATTTCAAATACAGACAACTTGTTTTAAAATGTATTTATGGTGTAATTGGCAATTTCACTTAGAAAATAAAAGGTATACCAAAATAATTTTAGTAGTGCTGTGTTCCAGTAATGCTTTTTGTGAATGTCATGCTTAGTAATAGCATCCACTATCTGGTCTACTTGCACATAGAATATACAGCTAGAAAAGGACAGCAGACACAAGTATATCTTGCTCACCATGGAAATATCATGATAATACCATGAAAAAGCCCCATAATCATACATAAACATGCAGTGTGGCTGAAACTTTCAAATACATCCTCTAGACTTCTAGATTTCAAGCACTACCTAATGTTTTTCATGGCATACATCTTTAAAGGAGCAATTCTGGCTCACTGATATATACAGTCCATTCAGATTTTAACTCAAGGCACTCATTCATTTACCTAAATAAATGTCCACTACCAAAAAGAAAAAGGAAAAACAGCAAGACATCTGTGATTAAACTACGGTACCTAAACAATCAAGAACCAAGAATCACTATCCTACCATCAGAAGTTGGCGTCACATACAAATCACTCCCGTTTTATATCTAATATCTGGCATTCCATTATCACTGAGGTAGGAATATTTACGTCAAGACAAGGACTTCATGGTCACTCGAACGAATGGTGTGCAATTTCTACTTTATTGCAGTTCACTTTTTGATCAATCACTTGATAAAAAAAATGCATCTTTCCCAAGTGGATTTTCCGATGAGCAAGGTACACACTCACCACATCCGTCTACCTCCGGATCTAATATAAATGCTGACAATTCCATGGGACTAGCTTTTCCTGATCACTAGGTCTCAACAAGGAAAATCAAAACACTCATATTCCATTGGATAAGTTCTCCATAATCAGGTTTGGCATAAATTAAACACAGCAATTAAAAATACCATAACAAAAGTCTCTACCTTAGCTTCTCTTTGATTATGGGATTTTAATCCAATTAGTGATACATAATTTTTTTCAAATTCATAATCTGTTTGCATTTAATGGTAGCATAGACCACATCCCCCAATTTAGTCATACATTCATTACTAAAAACCTCCATTCAGGTGGGCAAATATCAAGAACTGTTTTGCTGGGTTTAAACATTTTAATATAATCTCCAGTTTATCAAAATCGATCATCTTATGAAAAAATATATTAATAGCGATAGACTATAAACAAGAATAAATAAACACGAAATAAATCCTCAGAGCCTGGCAATAATGCAGGAAAATATTGGCACCCAAAAAAGCTTGAATGTGGGGGAGAAAGCCCCCCCCCCCCCCTTATCGCACCCAGCGTTCCCCACTCTGACATATGCTATCAGAAGGCATATCTAAGTGGCTTCTGCATTGGGTATGTTCATCCTTTTTTTTGGGGAGGCAATATCCAAGAATCTCCAGCTCCTACATTTAACCCTCTAATAACAGAAGTATATCTAAAGAACTGGACTTAGCTGAAGACCATGTACATTTATCACCAGTGGTTGTTTTGCCGTAACAGGTGTGATTTCAAGAGCAGAGATTTGCTTAAGACTTCAAAATTAGGCTCTTTGGTAGTTACAGAGAGCGTCCCAACACAACATTCATCGTGCAGGGAGATTATAGTGAAAAAATGCTGGGGGGGGGGGAACACATGTATCAGAATGACTGTGTTCCTGAAGTGGTCAAGATGGAACTCACTACTTTAAGTGGTAAGTGGTCAGCTGGGGGTGGTGAGAGGGGCTGATGTACTAGCTGGTGTTGAGCCTGAGCCAGTGCAGACCCTGCCGGGTGTGACGCACCAGCAGGCTCATGCTGGAGGTCAGGGTCAGCGGGCCCAGGGCAGCATCCAGGTCCTCCAGCAAGCCTGACAAGGGAAGAAGGAAACCCTCAGGTCGTCAGTGTCAAACGGTCTGTGGGAGACATTCAGTGTTCCAGCTGTTTACCAGCACTGACAGTAAAAGTGAAGTGCTGAATAGTGTAAAAAGCCAAGTCAGAAAATATTTCAATAAGTTACAGGACTCTTCTTAGCTAAAGACATGTAGGTCAATGGTCTGTACGATACAAAATAGGACCAATATGTCTGACCATTTTAAGACCATATTTAATCAATAACACTAGCGAACAATTTCTGGCCATACAAAATTTTAAGATGCTGCTACTTTCACTTAAACGTTGCTCTACTGACTTAGCTCAGAAGATACAACACTGGAATTGGCAAACCTGCATTAAACTTCAACTTCTCTGACAAGATCACATTGCTGCTTAAATATGATTAATATTCATATTTTATATATATATATAAAAAAACCCCAAAAAAACCCCAAAGGCAAAGGTTTGCCAATTCCAATGTATACACACATATACAGACATATATGACACTGATACAAAAAAATTGTACGGGTAGGGTGGTTATATATGGCGGGGGGGGGGGGGACAATGAAAATGTCAACTGCTTCCAAAGAGGGGCATGACAGAAAAATCTGTATGAGGTTGAGAACCACAGCCATACCTGATTTATAGTGCCATCTAGTGGTAAGAGCCAGAGTAAGAAATAAAACATGAATTCCATATAACAGATATATAAAAGCAAAACCTTACCACTGCCTGTCTTTGCCAGGGACTCAGCCTGCTCCCAGGTGTCATGGGCATTGAGGAAGTGGGCTGTGATGTTAACATAGGATGCTGCCACCTGCTGGACAACCTGGGGAATGGCAATAGTGCCAGGAGAACTGAAGTTCCCTGAACTGCCTGGAGATGGGGTTGGTGACATTGAAGGTGTGCCCATACTTCTGATAGAAGAAGAAAAAAAGAGAGTGAGAGAAAAGGTGGGAGGACCAAGGAAAAGCAACAGAGAAATTAAGAAGCAGAGTGGATTGGGGGAAAACCGGTCGAGGTTCAGTATATCAAGAAGGGGGAGAAAGTGGAAATTCTCAATATCAGAGAATATATAAAATACAGGCTGAGTATTCATCACGGCAAAGAGAAATACACTTACTTAGAGACATAGGGTGAGGGGGCTTTTGCAAATTTTGAAGAACTCTGAAGGTACAGAGAAAAAAACATTGTTAATCTTTCTCATGTACCAAGAATCAGTCAGGCTAATATATCGAGGCTGCTTCTTTAGCATGTTTGACTGCACATGCTCCAGTTACATCCTCACATCAGTGTAAAGCATCGTGGCCAGTGATGCTCCAGTTACATCCTCACATCAGTGTAAAGCATCGTGGCCAGTGATGCTCCAGTTATATCCTCACATCAGTGTAAAGCAGGGCTATTCAATTCAGGCCCTTGATTCTAAATCCAGGCCGTGTTTTTGGTTCTCCCAGGTAGTTAGTTTAATAATTACTGATTCTGATTGGTCAGAGGCTTCACACCTGGCTCACAGGTGAAGGAAGGCTGGAAAATCAGCAGTGCTTGGCCCTCGAGGACCGCGAGTTGAATAGCCCTGCTGTAAAGCATCGTGGCCAGTGATGCTCCAGTTACATCCTCACATCAGTGTAAAGCATCGTGGCCAGTCTGCAGATCGTTACCACAAATCTCAAATAGCGTCCCATCAAGAGCGTAAGAGTCGGACACACTCTAGGATTTACGTACCGTCTGCAATATGTACATGTGCTAAAATGTCTCCCTATTAATTACGATTCATAAAAATATGTATAAATGACTACTTTATCCACACATTTGTCATCCATTTCAGATGAACAACACAGTACTGCAACTGAATGAACAACTATGCAGTTGACAATAATAATATATAATACTACCCCATGGTTTCAAACTCTACATGAGATATTTTTTGTACTGTTGATTTTTCTCCTCTTATACTAGATTATAAGCAGTAGTGTTGCATTTCAAATTGTATATTTTGGCATTTCCTTACGTTTACACATTCTCCTAAGAGCCTTTAAAGTAAGCATTTCATCATGAAGTCCACGAATATACCTGCTAACTCAAAACATTAGCACATACCTATCAAAAAAGTGTATATAGATAACATTAAATTATTGTTTATAGTCAATCATGTTTATTGTTTTCCCAAATTAGGTGATAATTATTCAACAATGAACAACTCAAATTTGAAGTCATGTCTTACATAAAAGCAGGCAAACAAAATCGGAGGAAAGCAGTGAACTCTTAACGATAACTAAGGGAAATTAAATTACGAGGATCTACTTTTAAGTGTCCACATTTTTAAATACATTATTAAATTACTACAAAGTGTATTATAGAATACTGTTCTGCGTTTGTGGGGCATGAACCAACCTTAAAATGTTCTGTAAGAGTTCTTGAGTATTTGAGTGCCGTGTCCCGCTTGTGTCGAAACATTGCCATCTGCAGGAGGGACTGACATCGCAAACTGAGGGCAGAAACAACATTACTGGCTTCTAACTTGGTTTTCCAAATTGAACAACTTTATCTGCTTCGGGTGTTCAAACGTCAACACTGCAAATTGTAATGAAAACAAAAATTGTGTGTACTAGCCTACAATGTTATTTTTTTGTGCTTTTTCTATGATACGCACCATAAAATTGTAAAGTCTCTTTCTGAGGCAGGGCCAGCTGGATCTAGACAGTTCCTCAGCTTCAGTATAAATCTGCAAAAAAAATTAAAAAATTCCCCATTGTGAACTTGTTGTTTATACGAAATAATATAAAAACAGAATGATACAAAACAGATTTAATATGATAACCAGAAGTTTAGAGTCGACCCAGACTACCAAATGTCAGTTTAACCAGAAATGTAGGACAACACTTAAGGCCATGGTTTTGGTCATTTATAAACACATGCAGTCATAAAGCATTATAAACATGGCTATAAATATTTATAAAAAGGCATATCACATCATAGTCATGTGTATTATGCATTATGAATGCTTTATGACGCTCTCATCTATAATGCACTATAGATACTTTCATAATGCAGTACAAAGCAGTATCCTTAATACTGATGCATTATAATGGTATTAAAGATACTGCTTTGTACTGCATTATGAAGGTGTCTATAGTGCATTATTGATGAGAGCTTCATAAGGCAGTCATAATGCATAATAATATGGCTATGTGTTGTGCCTTTTTATAAATATTTACAGCTATGTTTATAATGCTTTATGAATCAATTAAAATGCATTATGCATGTGTTTATAAATTGCTAAAAACATGGCCTTAAGTATAATCAAATGTAGTCATTTTAGAAAACCTCTATATAACTGATGGCATTTGTGGAGGGGGCACTTTTTTATTGCTACTGTACAGATCAAAAGCCTGACCGCCATATATATCCTAGGCGTCCTGAAAAGGCCCCCCCCCGAGCCCCTAACTGCCACCCCCCTAGTGTGGTTTAAGGTACAGACGAAGAGGGGAGCATATCATGCAGAGGTAACATAGGAACACAGGGGTACATGGGATGAGCAGAGTCCCTAGCATGAGGGATTGTGGCCGGGTACTGAACCAAATATAGCGGATCTCTGCGAGCAAACCTGTCCTGCATCTGTTTATACAGAGGTGATGCGGCTGATAGGTCGTCCTCCCTGCCAATCCACTTCAGGAGTCCCTGTGAGTGAGATTTCTCACCCTGCCTCTGATATGGACTAACCATGGATCTCCTCCCCACTGGTACACACTATACAGACACCTGCTTTTCATGGCTCATCAGAGAATGATCAGGGTGCCTTGTGAACAGTAAAGCGCACACAGTTCACTTCTTGTTCACTTCAGTGTCTACACCAGTAAATCCCAACAGCATGATAATTCGTTTTTTTTTGTCTTTTCAAAGATAAACTCAGTGATGCAACTGAACTTCAGCTTTATTAATATTTTATATGTGTTGTACATGAACAAAACATTACGCACCACACAAGAGGAGGATAACAAAAGGGTATTTCTCTTTATCTGCGCCATTTAGTTTAAGTGCAGAATTATACGGAAAAGCACATCTTACAGAGGCAAAGGGAAGATCCTTCATGGAAGCTTTCATGTGCATAGATCTGATCCAGTACAGGATGACGTCTTGAAAACAGAAGGAAGAAGGAAGAACTCCAGGCTGAAAGAGTTTACTTCCTACCTGATCAAGTCCACAGTCTCTGAGAACATGGTATATGCAGACTTTGGGGTCTGAGGATCCGTTTCCATGGCAATTCCACTTTCAACAAAGGACATGGCCGCATCCAAATAGTTGAAAGCTTTTCCAACCTTGTCCATCTTAATGGTGGGGCGGGGGAGGGTGACAAAGAGCACTCTGAGTTTCACATGGTTTTCCAGGCCGCTCACCACTGGGGGGGCTCCTCCCAGCGAGGTAACATACCGTAGCGTCCGCTTTGTGCTTTAGCTTCTTAGCTTCCTTCATGTGATACTCGACAGGGTACTGCCTGCAATGGAGAGGAAACCAGAGACTGCATAACCACAAGCCAACAGAATCAGGCAGCTAAAACAAACACTGCATTGTTCTGAATCCTAAGCTGCAGTCGTGATATTAGAAACTTCAACGAAACATACGAGTCCTACCTGTCGTGAAACTTCAGTAAGGGCCGACGTGGGAGAGGCGTTCTTGCTGGCTGGGCTGTCACTGGACAATTCAAGCTGTTCTCTGTGATTTTCTGTCAATGACATACTAATAGTCACATTAAAAGTGTCATGCTAATTAGAGGTGGGCCAAATCATATCATTCACGATAATACCGGTAAATTATTTTTGCCCGAGAAAAAAAAAAGATATATATCATGATATACTAATTCCATGCCATCACACCATTACGTAGCGGATTACGCTCACGTGCAGCGCAAAGTTATTAAAGTTGTGATGGTGAAGGAAAACATGGCTGGAAGCAGTACTGCTGAAGAATTAATTCCCCCTACTTGAGTGGTGTGGAATTGTTTTAGATACAAACAAGCAGATACAGAACAGACGACGGTAATATGCAAGGAGTGCAGGAAGCCTGTAAAACCGAAAGAGGGAAATACATGTAACTTATTTCACCATCTGAAACATCAGCACCCGAGTCTATACCACGATTGTCTGAAGGCCCGGGAGAAAAGCTCAGGAGCTAACGCTACGAAACCAAAACAAAGTAAGTTGGTTCAGCATGACATCACCAAGTCTCTCGCCAAGCGACTGGGAGCTGTGCAGCTCAAATCTTGAAACCAGCTACTTTCCCCAAGGATCACACAGGTGAAAATATAGTGACTGGCTTAAAGGAGTTTCTCCAGTTGTGGCATCTCGACGAAGCAAAACATGTGTGTCTGACAACAGATTGTGGGGCTAACGTTGTCAAAACTCTCAGACTTAATAACTGGATGCAACTATCCTGCTTTGGGCATACTCTCCATATTGCCATTGGTAGGTTTCCTTTATTTATTCCATAATTACCTAGGTTATTAGACGTTAAAGTAAGCACAAGTATCTGAATCATCACATAATGCTAACTACTTCCTATAGCAGGGGTGGGGAACCTGTTCCATGGAAATGCCAGTGTGGGTGCAGGTTTTTGGGATGACCTCTCAATCAGCTAATAACAGTGGGTCTCCAGGATTGGAGTTGAGAACCACTGTTATATTATTGGCTGATGGAGAGGCCATCCCAAAAACTCACAGAAATATTCACAGAAATATTGCAGATTGTGCCGAGATTAATTAGCATGTCCTTGCCAACAATAAGGCTACTATTAATTGCATATTGATACATCACTGTAACATTATGGAAAATATTACAGAAATGTTAGTACTTTCTCACTAGGGAAGTACATGACCTGATTATGCCTAGCACTCAAAATGCTTAAAATGTTAAAATTTCATAAATTCTGTAGTGAGTTACGAAATAAAAATGAAATGTATAAATTATATATTTGTGTGCTAGGATGATATTAAAACTATGATTTAAAACTGTCTCTCTTCCACCTTCCCTCACCCTCTCTGCAGAGAGAAGTATGAAGCATCCCAGGATTGACAGAGCAGTGACAGTTTGCAAAAATATTGGGAGTTCTTTCTCTAACAGTTGGAAGAGGTAGCAGGCACTGCTAGAGGCTCAAAAAAGGGAGGGTATGGCTCAACGCAAGCTCATCACGGAGTCTCCCACGAGATGGGGGTCAAGACAGAAAATGCTCCAGCGGGTGTTGGAGCAAGAAAAGCCTGTCACCCAAGTCTTAGCTGCTGACCGGTCAACAAGGCACCTGGTCCCCACATGGCAAGATCTACAGGTACTCGATTCTGTGAGCAAAGCCCTGGGTCCTCTGGTGAAGTTCACTGATGCTCTGTCTGCTGAGGACTATGTTATTGTCTCATGCTTGAAACCTGTCCTTCAGCTGTTCAACAGTAACATTCTTCTTGTGAATGAGATCGACACAGACCAAGTCCATGAAGAACTCAATACTGGAGTACTTGAACAGTAAGTATGAAGAAGACCCCGCTGTTTGGTGAACTAATAAATTTGGTAACCAAGCTTCACCCACGGTTCCACATTCGGTACATGGACCTTGAAAAAAGCCAGGTAATCAAAGACAGAGCAGTTAGCGAGATGGAATCATTCCTGCCAGGGTCAGTAGAAGCTGAAAACCACAAGCTTCAGGATCAGCTGAAGACACCCCAGGCCCAAGTTATGCAAAGGTGCCAAAGAGGACCCTCGGAAGCTTTTTCAAAAGGGCAGCAGCAAGTGACAGAGTAGGACCAGAACCATCTCCAAGAGAGAGAATTCAGGCAGAGTTAAACAACTACTTGGATTGTCCACCAGCAGATACTGAGAGTGATCCCCTCAAATGGTGGAAAGTGCACAAGGTTAACTTTCCTCATGTTAGCCGTTTAGCAAAAAAAGTACCTCTGCATCCAAGCCACTAGTGCAGCCTCTGAAAGGTTGTTCAGCAAAGGAGGGAACATTGTCACCTGCCATAGGTCCACACTGAAGCCTGCTTCAGTGAATAGGCTTGTGTTCTTGTATAAGAATCTGAGACAGTGATAACTGGTGATAAGCAGCTAGATGGCTATGTTCTGATGACTGGCAGCCTTTTCAGGCAGCATTGCAATTGAAGTTTCAGCATTTGTTGCAAGTTTTGGAAGTTATACCTCATTTAAAGACAGCATTTTTTGTTGATTGTTACTCAAATTGTTTGAGCATAAATGTACTTTCATTTCATTGTATTTTTTGTAAACTGCACTTTATATTTTGTAGTGGATTTTATTTTGCTATATTATTTATGTTTTATACAGACTTTTTCAATCCAAAGAACAGAGGGAGAATTTTTCATTTAATTTATTTTACTTTAAGACTAAATACTTTACTAAATAAAGTTATTGCACTAAAACTAACCTGTGCAATATATTTTAAGTTTTTACAGAATATTTTAAGGTAACCTGCTATGTTTATGCTCTCAAATGATTAAAAACATTTTTTTCTGTATTTTGTTATATCGTCAAATTTATCGTTATCGTCAGAATACTCGGAAATATCGTGATATTATGTTTGGGTCATATTGTCCACCCCTAATGCTAATGTCAGGATAACTATGTAATTATTAATATCCAACTTATGTCCCTCTTGGATGTTTATTTAATTGAAAATCAGATATGTATATTTTATATGCTTATCTACTCTGCTACTTTGTTTTTTTTTGTTGTTGCAGCATTCAGTGGACTTAACAGAATAAGTGTTGCACTATGCATTGCATATATGACTGCAATTATTGATTTAAATTCTGAATGTGAAGTTCAGTAAATTTTCACTCGATAAATCAGGTTGTTTTGACATGCTGCTGGTATCCTCTCACTCAAATCGATTGAGTTTTTCAAACTCAAATTTTTTCATTTAAAATGCTTTTTTGCCTATTGTACACACCGCTGCCGAATTATAAATGACAGTTCATGTCAGTACGTTACAGTAAGGGTTTATAAGGCTTCGACTGAACTCAAAATCAAACATAGCATCAGGCTGCTGAGGTAAACATACACTACCCCCAAGACTTCTAGTAAAAACTGACATAAGAATGAAGAAACAGGTTACTTCCTTCCTTTGAACACGTGAGGAGTAGAGTTTTTTTTTCCAATATTTAAGTTTTACGGTTTAAGTCATGACCCTATGAGTAGGGAAAACATGGAGTAAAGGAACTCTAAAGGGCAGCTTCTCTGAAGTTTTATTTTTCCAAAAGAAAACCTGTTCCCTGTTTAAGACGTCTCTACCTCTAACTTCTGAATGGAAAAAAAACACAGAGAGCCCCAAAGTCCCAGTAACATGCTTCTATGCCAAAATCACTCAATACAGTGGATGGTAGACGCATCAGATCCTCGCAGCCAGACCAGGAGAGCGCCTGGAGCACACACCTTGCTGTGCTTGTTCTGCTCTGCATCTACATTCTTCTCCTTCTTCTTCTTGTGCTTGGCTGGAGGCTGGCTGCTGTCCTGGGGCACACCTCCTCCGTCCTGGGGCACACCTCCTCCGCCCTGGGGCACACCTCCTCCGCCCTGGGGCACACCTCCTCCGCCCTGGGGCACACCTCCTCCGCCCTGGCCACCACTTCCCCGCTTGCCCTTTGGCTTTTCTTTGAGGTCTTGAGGAGCAGCTTCTATGAGGGACGGCTTCCCTTTTTTCACTTTCTTCTTCTTCTTCTTCTCCTGCTCCACACTCTTGGGCACTCTGTTCACAATGAGATAAGTTCAAGTGGAGTAACACACAGGAGGTAGTTACTTTTTTCTTTCATATTTTGGTGTATGGAGTGTTTTAATGAGGACAATTCAGCAGTATTAAAAGTAGCAGGAAAAAAACTCCAAAAAACTCAATGGAATTCCTCTATGACATCAATTAATTCAAATGCAGACACAGTGAATATGAACACAAGGGGGTGTAACAGAGTCAGGGAGGATGATAAACTAAGAGGAGTGGATGTAAAGTGAGTCTTATTACTTACTTGGCTGAATTTGCGATATGACCTGATGAAAGCGGCTTGACTTCATCAAGTTTATGTTTTTTTCTTGGTAGAATTTCTTCATGCTTTTCTGCCTGCAAGAGAAAACAGTCAAATTCATTTTCTGGTCGCTCAATATTAAAAATATTAACACTTACATTTACCGTGAGTGGAATGCTTAAAAAAAAAATGCTCATCTCAAATACTCAGACAACACAAACTATTAGTGCTGAATATGTGATGCACCCATGAAAATGGTGGGAGTTCCGTGAAACAGTGGGATGTCACTAAATTGTGTGCACAGTTGTGCTCTTGGCAGCATCCTAAGCCTAAGTGCATGTGATATACAAACTCACAGCTTGGAAGGTGACCCGCAACCAGCTTTGTCATGCTATGGATTACACTGAGCATGTATGTAGGCTGATGGGATATGGTTTGTAACAGTTTTATGTAGTGATAAATTATGATGCTTGAGTAGTGATCAGTACAACATAAGCCAACCCACTGGTCTCTTTTTGGATTCTTTGCAAGGAATCCCATCAGCTTCTCTCTTCTTTGTCTTCTGCTTTTTCTTTTTTGGCACTTTTTTGGCTGGCTCACTGGGGGAATTAGGGACCGGAAAGGCCCCTGGTTGGGGGACCCTAAAGAGCCGACTGAGCTCAATCTTCACTATCAAAGAACAAAGGGAACCCTGGGAGTCCCTTCGCAGGAGCGCCTGCTCGCCCTCTCCTGGAGGGTGACGGCTCTCGGATTTCTTTCGCTCCTTCTGAACTTTCCCCAAGCTGGGACCGTTTGAACGCACTGGAAGAGTTTGCTCTAGGCTTGGCGGTCTGCCTGTGTTCACCTCCATCTTTCCTTCCGGTTTTAAAATTGCCTTTGGAATGGACTGTTTCACCTTTTTTTTCGAGCTGTGTTTATCGGCCTTCTTGCCATCTGTTGTAGGTTGGGACTTCTCGGGTATGCTCTTCTTTTTGACCTTTCGTCTATCTGTGTGAGCCTCACTCTTGTCACGCCGAGGTACTTCTACCCTTGGCTGTGCATGGACGACCTCAGGAGACGGGGCCTTGTTTGCCTTTGATGGGTGCTTAATCCCCACAGTCTTTCGCTGATTTTCAGCTTGTACAGGGGATTTTTGGGGACTAGGCTGACAGGCCAAGGTCTCCTGAACCACTTTGCCATCGTTTTTGATGTACTCAGAATGCACAGTAGTAGTCTGGGAAATGCAGTCATTCTGGTAATTATCTTCCTCTTGCTGCTTACTGATCACCGGGCTGAAGCTCTGCGATTGACCAGCCAGGCTCTCTGCAGCTGAATTTTGCTGATTGACTTTGACCAACCAGTTGTCCAGCTGCCATTTATTTGCAACAGATGAATCATCCTGTAACGAAAAGAAACATGCATATTCAATTGACAAAATTATCATACATTCGCAAACAATTCGTCAAAGCAAAGTGACAACCATGCAACCAAAAATATCAAGAGGGAAAGCAGGGGAATCTGAGCTGTACCTTGGATACAGATGGGGTGTTGCGCTTCAGGTGGGGGACTTCCTCCTTGTCGCTCTCGCTACTGTCACTGTCTGACTCAGACCCTGAAGAGCTTTCAGAATCAGTGGATATGGAGGATTCACCACCACTGGAATGTGTCAACACCACACTGCCCTTGGTGACCCTGGACAGGGGTGACATTTCAGAGACGGGGTTCAACTGGGACACTTTTCAACAACAAGATGCATGTTTTTGTCTATAACATACACCAAATATACCTACATATAGACCTTGACCAGCTGACAAAGATTCCACCATAAGCTCACTAAGTAGTGTTGGAACAATGCATCAACATAACAAATTATGAGGCACTAGAGATTTTGTCTAAATTTGCCGATGCATATACCAATAACCAGCTAACCTTTGAGCTACTTGCGGATTGCAGTGGTACTTCAGAACTTAAACTTAATCCGTTCAGAACTCTGGATCAGAAATTTCCACTGATCTATCGTAAGGGAACTAAATATTTTGACAATGACCACTGGCCTCAATCCTGTATGCATAGCGAATCAAAGAACATACTGGAAAACTGGGACAAATGCACACTAGTACAGGGAAAAATAAAGATATAAAACTATGGTGCTGCAATTTCATTTCTGGCACTTCACAGTTCTGAGGATCTGGATAAAATTATGCATTGCGCTATTCAAAGTAGAGTGAATTTACAACCTGCTAAGCACACACAGAATAATAAAGCACTGTAATACCTTGTTTTGCGAAACATAATATTAAGACGTACCCGGTTAAAAATGCCAGGCTGATTTAAGGTCACCATTAAGCAAACATCAAAGATCAGACAATGAGAATAGAGAGGAACATCAACAGTGAGCAAGTAGGCTCTTCATTCACTCCATTCCCTTCTTCCAGCAGTAAAGCCCTACATAGCTGATAAAAGCAACGATCAGCTACAAACTAATATAAATTTTCATATCTCTCTACAAGATACCAGATAATGATATATGGACAATAGACCACACTCAAATCCTAATGAGTACTTTCACCTAACTGTCCCATAAGATTAGTATGGTCTATCATGTTGCTTTTTAGGACAGAACTTATATAAAAGTGAAACACGTTTTGCAAAAATGAAGAATGTTATACTTACAAAGATCCCTGATGACAGAGTGCTTTTGCAGATTCATATTGATCTTCTGAAAGGGGGGGTATGCTGGTTAAACTGGGCTGACAATGAGCTAAAGGCAGTGTATCTTAAAGAAACAACTGCTTCAAAATGACTAATTTTATGTTTGTACTTCAGTCAGTACAGTACCCATCCATAGCAGACAGAATGTGGGGCAGATTAACGAAAACTTTACCATGAGCTAGAAGGTTACAGGGTTTCAGGTTCTCTAACATCCAGCTGCAGTTAACTTTGAAACACAATTTCCTTTGATGTTAAAAGCCCACAAGTGGGGAGGTGTGTCCTCCCTCTCTGCTGAAACGTAACAAGAACTGACACCACTGCTCCGGCTGCTCTGTGGTGACAGAGCCGGCGAACAGCTAGTATTACCCAATAAACTTTCCCTTCAGAGGACTTTTGTAGAAGTTCTCTCCCAGCACGGTTCCCCACAAAGCACTCTAATTACAAAACAAAGCCTTATATACACAAGCGTCACTTACTTTGTCCTGAAATCCCGCAGTTGACATTTTGTGATTCCTGCACAGGGAAGAGAAATAATTTATTGTCGGCTTTTGCAAGCTGTACCTTGGACATTCAGTATGTTATATAAATATCAAGGACAAAGCAATGTTTCGTTATGGGTTACCTTTTAAGAATTAATGTATCTGGGAAAATGTAACAAAATGGATGTACGATCCATAGACTTTCTCTAATACTGAATAAGTGGGTGAATGTACTTGTTTGAATGTTAAAATTGTCTACAAAAGTTGCTCAGCTGTCATCGTGGATAACTGATGTGAAGAATTTTTCAGCACACTGCACATCTGACTGTGATAACCTGACAGATTATATCAAAGAAAAAAAGTTACTGAAATTAGTCCTGTGTTTGGCCAAAATCAGGCTAAAACAGAAATCTTTCAAGACTGAGGTTACTGAGTTTGCAAAGCAAACAGGAAAAGTTCACTCAAAGTTCTGTATGTATTCAAATGTGATTGAAAGGTGTGACAAACTGGAACCAAATAAGTGTGATGTATTGAATTAAAAACAAATAACTATTTCATCATCAACTCTGTTAACATACTTTAAGAATCCTTTCTTGTTTTGAGCCGTACCCCTGTTAATCAAAGAGTAAAATGTTTAAAATGTTCCTCACTTCTGCCTAATACACTGTATATCATGGGAACAAGAATATAAACATCTCAGATGCGTTATGGGACATTATAACAAAAACAACACTGAAAATGAAAATCATCCACACGGTAATTTGATTTAAGAAAAGGGAAATGGAACTTTATGTGGCATACATGTAAAAGACAACTCAAGTAGGAACTCATCCATCCATCCATCCATCCATCCAGCTGGGTGTCGTGATAAACGTAGAGGCAGTCTCACCTTGGCCAGAGGGAATTTGGGAGGTTCGGGCATGCTAGGCGTATGAATAGCAGTAAGTGGTGGAGGCCACGTGTGGGTCATTTCCTAGGAACAACCAATTTAAAATCAAAGTGCAAGAACACAAGTCTGTGCCATTCAAAGTCAAAAGTACTAACTCATTTGAATAATTCAAAGAACTCATTACAAAGCATTCTTTAAAATCACAAAGAATAACCTAGGTAAATAATTAGAATTTGAAGAATGATAATACAGCACACTTACCCTAAGGATATCTTCAACACAGTGTACATCATTTGAGGTCTAAAGGGGAGGCAATTAAAACTATATGTGAGCTTAAGGAGTCATTGAGGATAAATGCAGAAACATACTTCAGAGGGAATGTATCCATTGTGGCAAAGAAAGACATGTTGTTCTTGGATGGTAATGATGAAAATCCACCGGCCAGACAGAAACAAGAAAACCTTGAGTGGGAGAGAAACACACCCCAGTACAGGAGAAGGAAGGGCTGAGTTCAGTATGTGTTAAGGCTGGATACAGTCAAACCGGAGAAAAAAAATAAATAAATGGATAGATGGATGGATGAATAATGACGACAATAATAATTACTTAAATGAATACTAGAACTGGCAGGAACAAAGACAATACCACCAAACATGTACTTTGCATTACTGTTCACCAAAAGTCAAGTTTGCAATCAAGCTGAAGGCTGCCTTTGAAGAGACCCTGATAACATTCGGCTTTGCCACACCTACAGGACGGCGCAGGTATTTTGCTGAAGGCGGCCTGCTGAAGCAGACCACGGAAGATGCCAGGAAGACTGCTATTAGGAGACTCTGCTTGTTCAAGGGAGACTTTAATAATTTAATACTAAAAGCCTGGAAGCCTAGCAGAGAGTAAGATAGGTAGTGCACCAAGAATTTTCACCTGGCACAGCTTTTTTCCAAGCTAATGCAATACTGTACACATTATGCATTTTCCACATTTGTGTAATTGCAAAGACCAAAAGGAGCATGCAGTTCTTAAATCCCTTCTGTATTACAGAAACAGAAAAAAGGACATGGATTCAGACACTGGTTGACTAATAACTGTTACAATTGAACAAAGACCGGTCTATTAATAAAATACAATCAAACATTAAAAACCAACAGAAAGCACTGCTGTTATAAGGCAGAGGTGAGCCTCAGACTATTAGCCTGCAATTAGCTGACTAGCCAGTAGATGGGAGTAATGAATCTTTAGCTAACGTAGTTCTAGCCACCAAATCCATAAACACTGTCATGATGCTAATTATGGTTTTATGGATTCACTTCAAGGGCATCATTCACACCATGTGTGATTCTGTAAATCATATGAAGTGACATTCTTTTTGATCACACTGTAACAGATGACAGTTTTTGTGCCCATTTATTTTTAGTACTGTTACTCAAATAATTACTACCTTTTAATACATATTTCCCATTGAAGGATTTTTTTTCCCTTTTAAAAAATAATAATAATGTTCTATTTCAGCCTTACACTGCAGTACTCTAAATAGTAAAACAGTACTTTAGAGGTTCTGGGAAATTACTAAAATGAATAAAACGAATGATCTGTGCACTATGGAAGAAAGCAAACATAAGGGTGCTAACTTCATCACCACTATATATTATGAGGCAAATTGGAATCCAACATTACAAGCAAAACATTTATGCAGAGTGAAGATTCCAAACATGGGTGTCTACTGCAGTAAATCAGAGATACAGATAAAGGGGGCGTGAGTCACCATACAGCAATCCAGTGCAGGATCAGGCAGCTCTCAGGGAAAATGCCCATCTATTGAGTTTCTGTTGTGGATTACACGTGTGCCAGGACTGTGAACAATAAGCACCACATTCACTGACGCGCAGCTGCTGGGCTTGGGCCCACAATGAGAATTTCACCAGACAGAGACAGCTACCAGAGAGCATTAGGCTGGCTTAAGTTATTGCTTAAATACTTAAAATTTTTGGACACTATGCTAAAAACCAAAATGACCTAAAAATTACAAACATTACTGCTTCAGGAGTCTCAAGTGACTGTTTTGAGAGAAACTGATTTTAATCAAAACCGTACTGAGAAATTTTGTTTGGTACCGTTTATACATTAACAGCTGTTTTTGATATTACTGGAACCTTACAAGCTCAATACTAAATATAAAAATCATTAAACTGAATTTAATATAACTGGTTTGGTCTTGGCAACAGGTGTTTGACATGCCACTTGTCACGTCGTGCTTAATTCTGTCCGTTCTAGGCACATATTTTGGGGGATACCTTAAAGCAAAAGATTAAGAATCCCCATAGGATAAAGATTAGATATACATTACGCATAAAGGCAGGCAATCAAAATAATTCTGGCAGCGTGTATGTGAGAGAATGAATATTACTACAGGGTTTGTAGAAATCAAACCAGCAGGTTGAGAAGCAACCAAAAAAAATGATATTTTGCAGGGTTGAGGATTCAAGTGATTTTGAAGACATGGCTTTGGAAAAAACTATCAGCTAAGAACACAAAAAATAAAGGGAGACTAGCCATAGTGAAGACTAAATACAGTAGTTTTTAATATTAGAATATTATAAAATATAATAAGAATAAGACTAATATTAGAAATGTAAGCATTCAAAAACTCATTTTTACAATGAACAAATTCTGGAGTTTACTGATAAGGTTCATACCCATTCATTTAATATTATAAGTGTAATAAGGAGGAAGGAAAAAAAACCCTTTGCTCTTTCACTGAATAATAAATAGGTGTGACTGCTGACATGACAAGTCCCCACATCTTCTCTATCTCTGTTGAACTCTTACCACAAATACTGTATTTGTTTTCTTTGAGAAGCTACTCACAAACAGCGGAAATAACTATGACGTTTAAGGTCAAAAAGAACACAACTGGGTCCAATAGCCAGTCTTTAACGGACAGAAAAAAGGCTGTATTGTTATACCAAGGAGTAACAATATTACTTCATGCCAGTATAAGAAGTATAGAGGCAGTGTAATTTTGACATATTTTTGCTTGATGATTAAAACATTTAATGGCAATACTGCATTGTTACAACCTATAAAGTCATTCAGGGGAAAAAATACTTCCATTTATATTTCAAAGGTTACACATTTATCAGATTTAGCAGATTTTCCTTTATGAGTCGAAAGGGCTGACAACAGTTAAGAGAATTAATCGATATTTACATCCCTATTTTAGAGGCTAGTATCTTCTGTAAGCTTTTTCCAAGTCTCATGCGAAGGTAAGATAAAGGATTCTGGATATAACAGTACGGTTATTAGAAATCTTATGTTACACAACAGATTTTCACAAATGCTACTGAATAATCTGCTGAAGTTTGATTTTCACCAATTCTACCTGTTAAACTGTCACAGTTTCATTACAGTGAGGGCGTCCTCAACAATGCTGCCAATATTCAGTTTAATGAATATAGTTTAAATAATTGAACCAACAATGGTAAACTCATTATTTAGAAGAATGGCATTATTAAACACACTTTTATTATTATATTGTATCTACACAATTCATGTTTTGACTGTCCTGTAGGCCTATTTCAGAGGCTGGCCCAGGGATTCAATAATGAATAAGAGAGCCTCACGGTAGGACCGGGGTTAAAATGCTGTGTGTGCGTGTGTCTGTGTCTGCGTGTGTGTGTCTGTCTGTGTGCGTCTGTGTGTGTGGGTTTGCATAGATCACATTTGAGGATCAAATTGTCCCCAAATGTAGTAAAACCTGACATTTCCGTACTTTTGGGGAAATCTTTTGAGGTCCCCATTGGGATAACCTCAGTTTTATAAAAACCTGTGAATGCAATCAAAAAAGTAAAAATGCCAAAAGTCTTGTATTTGGGTTGGTTACTTATGGTTAAGGTTAGGGCTGGGTAGGAGTTAAGGGTGCCGTGATTGGGATTAGGGTTTTTCCCATAGAAATGAATGGACGGTCCCCATTTAGATAGGAAGACCAACTAAATTGTATGACCGCATGCCCTATGACATACTGACATTCCAGCCTTAGTGTACTTTGTATGACCATTGCAATGTAAAAGTAAAAAACACTGTAACCAACCATGATCAGTCCATATGTGTGCAAGTTGTGGAAATACTGCTCGCAAGCTGTCACCGACTTCAAATCCCATTTCGCATTTAAAGACTGGCTTGTCCTTATACCATGACCTTCCACTGGTGGTACAGAAGATTGATCGATGGGTGATTTGCCCTACAGTGACCAGTTTTCAAAAGTGTATACATCTACAGTCTGCCACAAGCAGTTCAAACGTAAAGAAACAATATGCCTACCTCTTCTGAATGTGGAGAGATTTTCAGCTTTGGGAAGCCAGCTTTTGTGTTGGTCTTTAAGTCGGGCAAGTTGTCATAAGACTGTCTGTGAAAGCCCTCTGGAGAAGGCTTGAGATTTGGAGACTCAAAGGGCACTTGATCCTGTCCATCCATGGGTCTGACGTAGGCCGTCGGCTTCTGAGGCATGACAAGATTGGGCTTGGAGGGTAAGGGTGGAGGGAAGGTTTGGGTTGGAAGTAATGCTGCCTCATTGAGCTGAGAAGGAATGTCCTTTTGTGTCTCCAGGTTGGACTCTTCCTTACAGCTGGGATACCTGCACTGTCTCACAGTCACTAGGTTGGCAGGCGGCGAGTTCTTTCCATCGGTATCCTGTGACTCAGAATCACTTGTACCACTGGAATGCAATGGAGACAAGGGTTCTGCTGGAGGGGACAGGACAGGCAGCGCAGCTGGGAGGCTGGCATATTCTTGGAGCCCCGACCACCCCCCACTGAAAAGGGGGTCAGGGCTGCTTTGCCTAGGAACCTGGGACAATGAACTGCAGCTGGAAGTAAGATGGCTGTACTCTAGGGCGGAAAGTGTCTTATGAGGCTTGGAAGTACTTCTGCTTGGTGTCTCAGCTTGGGAGACCCTACACTGAGGGTTTGGGGGAGGTTGTGTTTTGCCCATGTTGCTGGAAGGGTTGCACAAAGCTGGGGTCTGAAGGCCTTTTGATGGATTGAATACATTCAGTTGAGAGTCGCTCCCCACAAGTTCCCTCACGTCTTCATAATTACCAAGCATCCTCTGAATGCGGCTGGACAGCTCATCTCCTTTGTTGGTCTGGAAACAAGAAGAATTTAAAACATGAGAAGCTGTCATATACCTCAGATAGTGGCATTTAAATATTAGAGAAGTCCACTAAGTTTTAGTGAAAAAGGCATATACAAAACTCATACATATTCAGAGGGTTTGAGATGGTTTTCATGCCTATAACAAATTAAAACAAAAAACATCTGACAAACATATCAAACTATAACCAACCTATAAAACATTCTAACGTATGCAATTCCAGGGAACACAAAAGTCAAATGAACATCAGATACAGGCATTTTATTCACTAGCACCAAAAGATCTTATTTGTAGATTTTATGTGTATCCTTAAGTAAACAGGTAGCTTAAACGTGTGCAGTGATGCGCAAATTTGTGTTGTAGACATTTAAGACATTGACCTAAATTATCTTACATTTTAAAAAGAACCCTTCTCAACAGTTAACTGAAAGCATCTCAAACAGAGGCAGAAACAAACAGCAAACTGCACAAACAGAAAGAACACAAAAGAGGAGAAAGAAAAAAAACCTTCCACTGGACTAGAAGGCGATGACCCAATAATGCAGACTTATGCAGACCACAAGGCCGGTAAGAACATGCTAAACATGAAAAATCATTGACAATTTCAGTATAGAGGCTATAGGTTTGCCAAGAGCAGTGCCAGGTATTTTACTGCGCAAACATAGCAAACATCAGTTACGCAATACAGATTTTCTTTAGTTTTTTGCTCATTCACTACACGATAGTTTTCCACGACGCATGATACAGAGCTGCAGTACAGTAGAGCTTTTGATAGAGAAATGCCCACATTAGGGCCAAAGCAGCAAAGAAGCAGATAGACGTCCTCCTTAAGCCAAATCATATTATTAACGCTTGCCTGCACAAGAACGTGCCTAGCTAGTAATCTTGTAAAACAAAACTGTAAAGAAGATTTTACATAATACTGAAGACTTCTCAGGATGTATAAAAGCAGACAGATTATAACTGCAAAGTGTAAAGGCTGCCTCTACCAACAGCTCCACTGGCATATCGAGCATGAAGGCCTCGCTTACTAGAGGCAGTACAGCCTCACTTACTAGAGGCAGTACAGCACAGCTAACAGGGGAAACCAGCCCATCATAAACAGAGCTTACAGCCAACCTCAATAGTTGTTCGGGATTTTGATTCACTGTACTGGAAAAAGTTAGTGCCACACGGATTTGTGTTTCAAATGTGGCAAACAACTGTTTTGCTAAAGCTAAATGGAGCGTTCTGTGCATGATGGGAGACTTGCAAACGTGAAACTGAATTGGGAACGTATAGCTGGCTACAATACAGACAACTACACAGTGCACCCTGTCATTAACAATAAAGAACCATCCATCTTCCAAATGCTTTTCTAATCAGTGTCACAGGGGGGCTGGACTCTATCCCAGACAGCAGAGGGTATAAGGCTGGGGTACACACTGGATGGGATGCCAGTCCATCACAGGGCACACACACACACACACACACACACACATCCAATCATATAGCACGAGCAATTTAGAGATACCATTGAGTTCTACCGCACATCTTTGGACTGTGGGAGAACGTGGTAATTATGGAAATGCGTTCTATACCTTAACTAATCAGGAAGGTGATTTATTCGTGATAACTTCAGTATGCAAGCTACACAAAATCAGAATTTAAAATTTACCTAAATGTAAATTGATTTACACCTGGCCAAAGTTACCTAGGGCAGATCTGCAACGACACAATAAGACCTACAGCACATCAGTGGCTCTGCATGTTGCACAGAAAATGTATTCTCAAATACAGTTACCTTCAGTAATGTTACAGCCATCTTCATTCATTTTGTTAAAATCAAAGTATGTCTATTGGCATTTTTTTTTCCTTTACTTTATTAGCTACTCTCACATGTCCTACCAGGTAGGGCCCCATTTTATCTCCACAAGCAGTTCAAGGGAAGACAAGTCGTGCATTCGGAGCAGGTTCGGGCGGCAGTATACCAAGTATTTTGGGTATACCACAGTATTTATAAATCTATAAAATTAGCCAAGTGGGGGGGAGGGGGGCATATTAAAATGTGTCATATGTCAAACTTTATTATGCAGGAGCAATTTTTATGAATTCACAGCTTTGCTTTTGAAAATTTATATATTGTGGTGTGAAAAATGCGGCTGTATGTAAAATTTCATACCACCCAAGTCTAGTTCTGTGCACCACGGTTGTACTGAGCAGTTATTTTTGTCATTCTCCTCTGACCTCGATCACCTGCAAGCTGTTTTCGTGCACATAGCTGCCACAATTTTAACCATTTACCAGTCAAGATTACTAGATATTTGTAAATATTTAACTACTGCCAATGGCTATGCAAGCTCAGAAACAGCTTTATAAATTTGTCAGTTTGTAAATATATGATGAAAAAGGCATTTCAGTTTTGTTGACCACAAAAAATATAAATACATGCATTCCACTAAGCTCCAATTCTCTGGTTGATTTCATATCTACATATAAAACAAAGGCAAAAATACAGGCTATTTTTAGCTATTCCCAGTTTTCCAGTGAGTCTAATTAGCTGCATTTCCCTAATAACAGGCTGTCAGCAATTAGAGGTTCTGACTGGAGTGCTAAAGGGTGAGGTGCTTAAGCACCAGGACCTGGGAGTCCCCTGGGTAGCTCTTTGACAGGGGCTCCGTAAGGACTAATTAAAGCCAGACAGGTCTCTATACACAACAAGATGTTCATCTGACTCTGAAATTATACAAAACAGAACCACATTTATGAGCAAAAGGTAAGAAGTATTGGCTTATTCCTTTTACAAATAAAGACATTCCTGGTAGATATGCCCATGTAACCATGACACTAATCAGATACCAGGTTTAGCAACAATCCTTAATCTGATAATAGAAGAATTCCCAACCATCTCTTCTATACCACCATTTTGATTCGTCATCATAACTACGAGGCAAGTTTTATGATTCTTATGCAAATATGGCTACAAGTCAGCAAGACCCAAAACAAAATGGCAAGCGAACGCAACACCCAGAAAAATATATAAAATGTATATTTAAAAAAATATAAAATAATAATTATATTATTATAATGATATTAAACAAATTACTTTTGGCAATTATGTTCCAGAGAAATTTATTTATCGTAAGAAAGTAAACTGTAGCTTTGACAAAGATCAGCTTATTAATAAAAATAGAGTTTGACGATTCTTATAGCATGCTGTAAGGAATGAGCAGCAGTTATGCTAAAAAAAAACAGGGAAGTTTGATAAAACATAGGAAACCATCAGCAGAGATCTAGGCAGGAAAGTACTTGCTCTTGCCATCCGATTAGAGGATAACGAAGTTGACAAAGGCCTTTCATGATGCAGACAAGCCTGGATTTACCTTGTATGGCTCCCCAAAGAGAGGTGTGTTCTCCAGGTAAGGCTCCTTCTCTGGCTGCACCTCCAGATTCCTGCGCTCTCGCTCTCTGATCCGCTGCAGATTTCTTTCTTCATTGTGCAAGCTGTGAAAAGGGAGCACACCGACAAGTAAGCAGATCCTCTCAGCCATAAATTCCACTTAGTTGTACCCCAATCCTCAACATCACGCCCAATAATGTCGTATGTCAACCATGACAACCAGAGATGCTCTCATGGTCCATTTATGCTGCTGCTACTCAACATTTCTTAAGCACTTTTGGACAACCATGTTGGTAAGAGCACTATAAAAAAAAGCCTAAGCTGAATTATGGGTGTGTCCTGAGGGAATTAATATAATGAATTCAGCAGTTTCAGAAATGTTTTATTGTTTTTAACGCTATATGGCTTTTAGCCTTTTAGTAGTACAGACGCTCCTTTACTTACGAACTTTCAACTTACGAACTTTCAGACATACAGCCGTTCAGAATGTAACTCGTTCATAAGTAGAGGAGCACATGAGCACGGACTCTATTTAGGAAACAGCAGAGAAACAGCCAGAGTGTGGCAGGATTTTATATGTGTGAATTCACAAATTTTTTTCACCCAGTTTTTTCCTGAAGAGAAAGACATTACATATAAGCGAAACAGTCTGGAAGTCTGTTTACCTAGGTGTCAGTGTGGCAAGTCTGCTGAAATGTTTCTGAATTATGACAACATGCATACCAGAAAAAAAAATATCCAAGAGGATTTACATTTAGAAATAAAACATGCCATCAATTTGGCAGCTTCAGAATGAATATAAATGCAGGTATTTTTAAAAAGAAGCAGACCCAGTGGCCTCCAAACAAAATGGAAAATTAACAGTTGATCAGCTGGGTTTAACTCTTATTGGGAGTTTATCTACTAGTCCAAAAACACAAGAATCACAATGAGTATTAAAAATAAATTTTAACCATATATTCTAAACTAACATCTGCAAGTAATCAGTACTATATTAAAACATACATAAAATGTATCATCATGTCAAGTTAATGGCAAAGTTAAAAAGATTCCCTACATTGTAAGCGGCACTGTAAATAAAAGGAAAGGAGTTTAAATGGGAAAAACAAGCTGTGGAAAAATGATCTACCACAGTAGGGAGGATAAATATTGGGTGGGACCAAATGCACTTTGCATATTAAACCATAACACTGCCATAACACGGTTATGTATTAACGTATGAAATGCACCACAGAATTCTATCGTCTATTGGTTTTTTTCCCCTGTTGACAATGTTTTATTATTTGCTCTTAAGATGTAATGTTTTCATGAAAGGCAGCATTTTCAGATTTCAATTGACTTTGTAAACTGTAAAATGTTACCTATCTCTGAAATAAAAACCTCTAAATTACATATAAGATTGTTTATTTAAGACATATATAATTTCAAGGAACAAGGGAATCCTATGCTGCAGACAGGTAATTATAAGTCACTTCCTCTGGGATTACTACCAAAGGGTACACAACAGCTGGCATAAAAAGAAAAAGATAGTTATATCTTCTGACTATTACTGGTTGTGCCATCATTCACTGCAATCAGTTGTCTTCTACTTCAGAAGCATTGTGTAAAACGAAGTGCTTAGACATTACGGTCTACATAAATAAGCACAAACACTAACATAAGTTGTCAAGGCAATACCGATTACATTCCCACACACAGAAAGGACATCAGTGACACAAACACTAAATATTTTACGCCTTCACCTGAGGCACCTAAAATGGTTAAGACTGAATTCTACTTTCACTAAAGAGAAATGTACAGACCGACTGTTTGGGTCTTTCTCTGTTCAATATCATTTGGTAGATCCAGTTTTGCAGAGGTGCCAATTGTCAATGTTCCCTGACAAACATTTCAAGATGACAAAATATTGGTTAAAAGGGATAGGAAGGTATTACCAGTAGTAATTTCTAGTCAACATTTCACTTAACAAGGTTTGTCACAATTTCCACAGATTGTAATATAACAAACTTTAGAAAAATTGGCAACAGAATCCATCATAATTCTAGCTACCAATTACTCTCTTCAATCTTAAATCACACCTCACTGCTACGTACCATCCTACCATGTGGAATTATCCTTAGAGTAGAAAATGAAGACAAGGCATTTCTAACAGAGCCAAATATATAAAATACCAAGAAAATGCTGAAAAAATCTCAAATCCACTTGAGGCAAACAGATGAAGCAGATAAAGGAAATTCTTTACAATCTATTTCTCAGATAGCAACAGGGATTTTATAGATCTCTGACCTAAGTAATAATGTTGAAGTAGACCTATTAAGCCAACAGTATTCTATTAGTTTCCAGTATGCAGCTAACCAACAAAGGTCACCGAATAAACACTGCCAAAAGAAACACCCCTTAAAAGAAAGCGCAAAGACATTTTGGCACTTAATAATGCAGCTGTGCAAAGTTGAAAAAGCTGATTTGGAAGATAACATCTACAAGTAAACTATTTTTATAACTAACCCTAATTTAGAGAGAATTTAAGGGTTTGTTATTCTTATAATTATTGTTTTGTAAAGCTACTCAAATTCATTTTGGTTGTTTCTGGGTTATGACTTATTAAATGTGGAGGCTGGATACAGTTTTTTTTTTTTTTACATCTAAATTTTAAAATGTATACTCTAGGGGTGGGTAATAGGGCCAAAATGTCATATCACAAAAATTCTGCTTATAATCCTGATCCACAACATAGATCACAATTTGTGATATATATAGTTATCTTAAGCAACCATTTTACCACTTAATCAGTAAGGTCTACCCTTACATGAAACACAATTTGTGGCATTATAACAATCAATGTGTGTGTGGGACCTTTGGTCAATAAATACGCACTTCTGAACTCCGTTTACAAGAAATACAAACAAATAATGGGTAAAAAAATAATAAAATGTTCAGTTTTGAATGTTTCGCATCAGTAAGAAGCATTATCATCTGTTTGGTTACTTCGGATGGTGTGGAAGACTTTGTGGTTGAGCAGGACATGCCTGCACATATACCCATAACCAGACATTCTGCGTGTTTGCGGCGCTAGTATTTCCAGTGGTTAAAAACAGTGTTGCCACCTGTTGTACAAATGGTATCTTTACGAAATATGGGCTGTGTAGCTAACCAATCTATGAACTGTGTGTTTACCCATGTGACAGAAGAACAATATTTTTAGCAGTTCAGTGGTATATATATTTTTTTTTAAACCAAGAAAGCTAACTGGTTAAAAAATATCAGTTAAATTTTTAGTTCAAGATCGAGTAGCAGGCTAAGCATGGCAGGAACTTCATGGTTTGTTCTGTCATTATAATACTGGTAATAGTGTTAAGTAGTGCACTTCTGACTGGGCATTCGGTGAAATGTCAGGCTAGTCGACTCCTCGACATCATGTACACAGACCAGCCTTAACATTAAAACCACCTGCCTAATATAGCATGTGAGGTGGAGCCTTCATGGATCGGACTTTTGTCCAGCCCATCCCAGAGATGCTCGACTGGATTGATATCTGTAGAATACGGAAGCTAAGTCAACACCTTGAACTCTTTTTCTTGCTCCTCAAAGCATTCTAGGGCAATAATAATCAATAATCCAGTAATCCACCGATTAATCTAATGATCTACTTGAATAATATAATATAATATAATATAATATAATATAGAATAGAAAAGGCAAAAGGCTTGTATACCATTTTTTGAGGAACATAGAGGTATAGTTTCTTAAAAACAAAACCAACCTGTCTCTTGAAAATAAAAATTGGCAAGGACTCACAGGCCATATTTCAGAAGGACCAACTTAAAGATATGTGACAAAAATTAGAGTTTGTCATTTCTGCTTGAAGGGGTTGGCACCAGTCCAGTACCAGTACATCCGGGTGATGTCTTATTAAATGGTTATGTACGTTTTTCACGTTAAATATATAACTTGCGTGCTTAGCTTTTGGCATTTTAATCGTGTTTAGGGTAGCTACTAGCTAACGTCTGACATCTGCTGACATCAGGGCAAGTAAGGTGTAGTGATGCTTCCGTTGCCTGAGCACCAGAGGGTGAAAATTTCAATTGACAGGCACCAAAATCTGTGCTGCAATATGGTCCGGTTTCATGTTTAACCACTGTGGAAAAGAACCTAGAAAACTTGGGGAAAAAAATGCACATTAGCCTAAAAGATCGATCCATTAATTTCACAGATCGATATTGAATTGGACAAATTAGACAATTAATCGAAAAACGATATTTTTTGCAACTCCCAATAGTATATACATTGCAATTTCCGAGAGGCAGGAACTAATTAACCAAGCAGCCATAGGAGGGTGCACACTCAGTCATTCACCCAGTCAATTTAGGACAGTGGAAGGAGAGTGGAGGAGAACTTGCCAAAAAGCCCCACACATACAGGGCAAACATGCAAACTCTGCACAAAGAGGCAATGTGCAGCAGCAGTACTACCCACTGCGCCACTCTGCTGCCTTCAATGGGCCTGCATGATGTGCAATGTTAAAATCGTCATGGGATTTCATGAATATGCAATCGTCATATCACAAGGACCGTGACAGTCTGCTGGGTTCAAACCATCAATAAGCTGCACTAATACTTGTTACTCAGACACAGGAAATACAACTTAGTAAGCTATTTTTTTCCCCAACATTAAGTCCTGCAAAAAATAATAATAATAATAATAATTTAAAATCAGTCTAAAGTTTATCACCTCTGCTTTGCATGAGTTCTGCATGCACTCTCTGAGACAATCATTCTCATCATTGCTGTCGGACTCACTCATAGTCCAGTGTGGTGCGTCTGTGAGAAACTGTGAAAAGGATAAATGCAAAAAAGAACTGTTCATGAAAAGTCCACCACGGAAAACTTAAAATGTGAACTTCTTCCAATATCATTCAGCCCTACTCAAAAACACACAATTCGTTCACAAAACTATATGATTATATACCGTATTATGTAGGATTATATGGATAGCCAACAAGCTAATCTAGTTTTGGCAGCGATTATTTTTCATATACAAAAATTGTAGAAAGTAACTCCATGAGGCTAAATGGCGCATATCTTTGGTTAACCGTGCATTACTGGGG